AATGACAGCTGCACATCTTCGACTACAAGAACGAATCAGTTCTTGACAATCCTCGATACTAATTTTCAGAGACCATTCTTCTTGAAGCTTCACCCACAAATCCTCCGTGTTAGTGGGATTTCTTTCCATAACTTTCACTCCTAAGGTCTTCCAAAGATTTTCTATTGAATTGTGTCACAGTCTTTGCGGTGGCCAATCCATAATTTTAAATCTTGCAGACGTTAAGGTAACTCATTACCACTTTTGCCTATGTGACATGGGACATTATCTTGCATAAAGGTAGCCCTATCGAAACCTGAATTCTGTATGGATTGGCAAACAACATGATTTGAACAATACACGAAAATTGAAAATCTGCGCCCTTTTTTTGCTTGTTGTAACCGGAGTCAAGAGGCGTTTTGGTCAAACTGAAAGTTTGGCATAAATCTTTCACTAAAACATTGTTTTTTCCAAGACTTAAATTACGGTTTTATCATGAAAAAATATTTATTAACTAAATATACCGTTTTCAATGTTGTTTCTTATTCTTCGAACTAATACAGATTGGAAAACGTTTGCAGTCTTTAAACAGTCCCATGTCAAAAACGAATTCCCTCTAATGGTTTTGGGTCTTTTCCTTTCTCTGCCAAGTATCTTCACAATAGCTTGTCTCACAGAGTAATCAATTTTTTGGAATGTTTTTTCATGGTGCCGGTTGATGCAACGTTTACAAATGACTAAGTAAGACTTATTCTTTAGAGGAAATCAAAAATTTGAATATAGCATACTGTTTACATTGTTTTTCTGTTTTTTCAATTTTGTCCCTTTTTTTGACGTTCCAAATTTGAAAATAAATAAATAATTGTTATAATTCTTTTTCTATCCTTTTTCAAATGATTCAAATTTTAGTATGTTATTATGGATGATAACGACTACCAGTTGTCAAAATTTCAGCTTTTCACAGTTGTTATTTCTAACAAATATTAGGTTTTAAAATTTTGTCCCTTTTTTTTTAGACGCTACTGTATATAATCCTTGTAACAATAAATTGTCCAAGTCGTGTAACAGCATGCGATAATTATCCATCCCACAAAATGTTTAATACCTAAAAAAACACTAAACTAATTGAATTTCTTTTTTTTCTAGTTTTAACCATCTTGAGACCATTTTTCGTAAGAATTGTTGAAAAACCTTTTGTGTTATTTAGCTAGAAAGAGAACAGGTTAAAACCATTCTGTGTCAGCCCCACTATCTTTCCAACTAGGCAATGATGAGACGAAAAGGATCATTCAGGCCTTCAGTAATGGTACCAACATTCATACTCTGGCTTCCATCTTTAAAGACCATTCAAGAACCATCAAGAGAACGGTGAATAAGTTTAAAAAAGAAGGCACAGTAAAGAGAAAACTGGATCAGGAGGTCACAACTGGAAGTGGGATCATCATTTCAACTTAGAACTAAATACATTCTTAGTGTTCAAAGTAAAAACCAAGAGTTTTATAAAAATTTCGGAGAATTCCAGTAAGATATCTTTAACCATTTCTAATATACAACGGTTCAATACTTAATCTAACAATTGGACAATTTTGCTGTTCCACGATTTGAAGCATCCAAAACGTAACGCTACGTTTTCAGATTTCTCTGGCAATGCGTGATAAAAGTCCGCTAAGATTTACGAGCGTTTTATGGGACAGCTGAAGCATGGACGACCGAAAAGGCGAACATTTGATAGTAGGCCCAATGGCAAAAATATATTCCAATCGTTATCACATATAACCTATATATCATTTACATGTAACTCTAACAGCCTGTCATTGGAAATTCTTCAGAAATTGTCTTTATTCCTGATTTTGATCAGCCTTCCCACTGAGTCTGTGTCTATTTCTGCAGTAACTGACACAGGGATTGAACTCACAACTTCTATTGTTTTTACACACATAGTTGCACTCTGTTATACACTCTGCTGAATGCAAGAATGAACGGATGGAAGTTAAGATGCGATTGCGTTATAAACAAAGAGAATCATAAAAGTTTGATAACATTTATAAAATTTAATCATAAAATGATTTTTTTTTCTTTTTGTCATAATAAAATTTCTAATATAAAAAAATCATATATCAATTTTTTAACCATGTATAATAGTTTTTTTCTCATTTAAATACAAAACAACTACTTTCTGGGCAAATTTAAAAAATTACCCGGGGTTACCTCAAACTTTTGAAATGTAGTATATATATATATATATACTATATATATATGTGTGAATAATTCATGAATTTGTAAATTGATTGCACGTTTATCGAAATTAAAATAACTGATCCAAGTGCAACTTTTGGATAATAAGTGCGACATTACTGTAATTATTGAACAATATAGTTCATGCCACTTTGACAGAAAATTTACCAGTAAAAAATTCGTTTATTACCATATTTGTACATGAACGCACAACTGTAAAAAATTTAAAATCAAACTCAGCGTTGCTACTGCACGCTCCAAAAACAATAACTCATTTCCAATAGCATTTTCGGATACAACAATACATATATTTTCGTTGTCCTCTTATTACTAAGAGAAAAAAAGAAGAACAACATCTATTCCATACCTGAAGATGTCTGTAGGAACAGACGAAAGTTTGTAGTAAAAATAAGAACTAATGCGGCAGAAATTTATAGAAACAAGGATCTTTTCATTCATAACGGATTCGGAGGTTTTTGTATATTATTTGAATTGTTTGCGACTATGGATTTCTCGCCAATTAAATCATTAACCTTTGCATTTGTTTTTGTGTGAATAATTCATGAATATATATATATATATATATATATATATTACTTAAACGTTATCTTAGTGGATACTCGTATATGAGTATCGAAAAATCTGATTTTGAAAATATGAGCTCTTCGGCCGATTATTTTCTAATTTCTCGAATATCCAGGCGGGTAGACGAAACTAAATACATTTTAACAAATAAATGAAGATTCTACTTAAATATGGGTATGGAATAAAAGAGAAACCTGTCGAAAAAAAGGAATCTTATAACTGAAGGCATATAGTACCAAAAGAATTTGTTGTGAGTAAGTTAATGTTTAAGTAATAACAAAAACCAGGTAATATCGTATATTAAACAGTAAGGACACCAGAAGAGTATTACACAACTAGTGAGAGTGTATCGAATGAACCAGCGCTCAATCTATTTACTGTTCACCGTTCACTGTTCCCCGAACCTTCTCTCCTACTAAACTTATAGTAGACGGAAGAGCCTAATATAGACTCTTAGAGGGAGGACACCATAACAGAATTATAAAAGAAAGCAAAGCCTCAAATCTAATTATATTACAAAAGCATTTTAGAGGCATTTTGATGGGGGAAAGTGATTTGCACATGCCATCAAAAACGGCATGTTTCCGAGTTTCTGAAATTTTCTTAAGGCTCGTAAATGATGTACTACAGTCGACTGGATCATTATCCTCATCATCATCGTCGTCGTCGTCATCATTATCACCATCGTCGTCGTCTGATACTATCGTGAAAATCCTCTGCTCTGGCTGTTAACCTCAATTTAGGAAGTCGTTCGCCCAGCGATGCCGCTTGATCACCGCACTGGCTTCATACTTAGCTAACGAGGCCAATCTGACCCAATTGTTCTAGATGGCCGTCCATCTTACAAGGTATTTACTCCGCCCGTCGATCGGGTCTTGTTTTAATCCTGTTGAGTGTCTAGCCACCCTCATCAACAGAAGCATGGTGGGGTGGATGGGTTTACTGACCTGACCATGCTGCCGGTAGTATTGGCTTACATTGTATAAGTATCAATCGTAAAGTAGTCTGACATAGTGACTGGCGACACAAAGAATAAAAAGCTTTTTGAAACTGAATCGCACCAACTGAAGATAGACACACCATTCTTTTCTTCTTTGTAATTGTTTTTACGTTTATTTTTTGAAAATAAAATGTTCAAAAACAATTATTCGAAAACATTTATTCGAATTTAAATTATTTGAATGAAAATTAATCGAAGGGACAACTATACTAACTGATAATTATTCGAAATGCAAAATTCTTTATTACAATAAAAATATAAAAAAGTAAAAGACAGAATACAGAAATGTTAATTATTCGAAATACAAATATCGTTAATTGTTGAAACTTGAATAAAGCATGGAATAATAATAATACAACACAAAATGTACTTAAACAAAATGTATTGACACAAGAACGTGTACACAATATTTGCATATTGTTTGGTATATTCTTGGGAAGACCGTTCCTGTAGAATGGGTTGACTTAGTCGCCAGTCGGGCAGAGTCTCTGGATTGGATCTCTTCTTCCTCCCCCCGTCTTCCCGGTACCAACCATATTTATATGATCGGTACTCCACTATGTAAATTAGGTGGATCGTACCACAACATTGATAAAAGAATTTAATAAGAAAAATCATCATAACAAAGTTATATAATACTTGCACGCAAATACTCAACTACTGAAGAGTACTCGTTAAAAATTACTACTATTTTTAAAAAAAAAGTTTTCCATTGACGTCGCAGTATTTCTTGGCGCGCTTGATATTTTGGCAACCTGCTCTTTCTTTTGCAATATGAATTTCTTGCAAGTCCTGTTCTCTTTAAAGAGCGTCTAAGCGTTTCCATATTGTGGGATGGCACGTGTTGACTTCAAGGATGTTATTAGTTCTAGGTAAATCAGCATTGACTCTTAAAGCAAGACCACGTACGTATTTGAAACAGGTATTTCGAATAAATATAATTTAGTATAATTGTCCTTTTGATTAATTTTCATTCAAACAATTTACAATTTGAATAAATGTTATTCGAATAATTGTTTTCGAACAATTTTCTCGATACGGTTTTTACCATCAACGGCCGGGCTTGAACGTTTTATGAATAGCACCAATTGAAGTTGAACACTCCATTATAATTGTTTTTATAATCAAACGGTCAGGTCTGAACGTTTTTTCCTCTTCACATTTTTTGGCTTCACCTCTAGCTTTCATTACATTAGCAGATATGATGGCTTCACTCCATCCACTGTTTTCACAAAATGTTATTAATAACCAATCATTGACCCTAATCAAGAGAAAACGAACAACACCAAGGTAATTCATTCGCTCACTTTCAGAGTCACGCCATCTCTCATCAAGTCAGACTAGAACATTTTCATTAATCATCGTAATTAAGCTCTGTTTTAATAGTTGTGCAGATTAAACTTGAGTCAGAGTATTAAAGCGTCTTTTACACAATTTGAGAAACATCTTTAGGGTTTATTTTCAGTTTACGTTGCTTTTTTATGGTTTGTGTAGTCCTGGGCATGACGATAAGCTACATCCAGTAGCAAAGCTTGAGAGATTGGCGGTTTTGAGGAGCGTGGAACCACCTTGAATTGGTCTTGTTCCCAGGTCCACCCTATCTTAGGGTCTATGGGCAAATCGCTATGAAATTATAAAATTACATTTTATAGTAAAAAAATACCAGCAATTTATTTTTATATTAAAAAAATTACCAACAATACATTTCATCTGTACTTGAAGCCATAAAATTGTATTCAAACTATTTAGATTTCGGTACTAAATAACCGATAGTGGTTGATACACCGCTAAACAAAATAAACCAACCAACCAACATGAAAGAAATCTTTCATGGCGTTCATCCATGTAATATCCTACAATTTCTTAAAGAAATCAAACTGTATTCGAAAATATAACTTCAACAAAACTGCAACATAAAACACACATACTCTAGTAATTATGTTCACAGAAACATTTATATGCACAAAAGCAGAGTATCATTTACCATGTATTCAATTGTGAAAGCAGAATAACAAAACTGCAACATAAAACACACATATCACCACCTCGAGTAATTATGTCCCCAGAAACATGCATATGCACAAAAGCTGAGTATTATCTACATTGTATTCAATTGTGAAAGCAATATAAAACTTAACATATTTTTATTAATTCCAAGCCCCTAAGAACATTGAAATGACCCATAAGATGTTGATATGCAGTTAAGCAAAACAAAATCAGATTATTGTTTGTCTTTCGTGTTATACCGGAACGTACCTATTTCTATTGTAAATAGACTCTCCCACAGATAAGTAGTAGTAGTAGCAGTCGCCAGTGAAGCTCAGTGAGTTGTGTGAGTTAGTCTATGTCGGACATTAAAGTATGAGCCCCACAACTAGATTTCTGCGTCATTAACTATTATTGCAAGTTCCTAACGTTTTGTACGTCGAACCTAATTTAGGACCGACTTATTGAAATACAAGCCTCCACTGTGAAAACTACTTTACAATACATTTGGCGACGAGGGATTCGTTTCTCCTACGGAAAAAAAAATTTAAAGAAAAAAAATTCGTTCGCCATATACAACTCTTGGCGACGAACGTATTTTGGATTCATACGAAAAAAAAAATTCGTTCACTCTACAACACTTGTCGACGTGGATTCGGAACTCATACAGAAGAGGGGAAAAAATTTCACCCTTCATAACAAACGTGGCGTATGAGGGATTGTGTTTCATACAGTGAAGAAAAAAAATTTCGCTCGCCACGTTATTTCATACGGAGGAAAAAGAAAAAAAAAATTGCTCGTCAAATTTTCGGCGACAGCATCTCGGATTCACATTTAAAAAAAAAAAACTTGGAAAAGTTTTTCGAAAGACAAGACGTCAACTTAATGACGAAAAAATCAGTCGTATTCTGAACTGAGAAAAGAATTTTTTTCTCGATAAGACAGTTTCCTCAAATAGGTCACGAATTACAAATTCGTTTTGGACCCCCCTCTACAATATTTACGCATTGTGTAAACTTTTTGCGAAGATGGAGGAATGCAAAAATATATTCCAGGAATTTTTTAAGTTCCAGACGGAACAACAAATGACAATATTAGAGCAACAGAAAACATTCCAGATGCAACTACAGGAGGAAACTTTTAATAGACAAATACAGTTTCAACGAGAAATGGAACTGATGCATAAGGAGTTTCAAAACAAAATTCTGGAAATAACTGAGAAGAGGAAAGAGAAAAATTTACAAAATGTTTCTTTGCCAGAGAATACAATATGGAATTCGATTGAAATATTCATGTACAGTCCAGACAAAGAGATAACATTTGAAAAGTATTATAAAAGATATACGGACGTGTATAACGAGGACTGCCACACGTGATCTGAAGGAAAGAAGGTTAGACTTCTTTTAAGCAAGTTAGGAATTGCTGAGCATAACAAATTGGTAAACTACATTTTACCGAAAAAAACTAGCGAGTTAACTTTTAACGAGGCGGTAAATATATTAAGTGAATTATTTAGTAAAAAGACATCTTTGTTTCACAAAAGGTGGAAATGTTTGAATCTGATGAAAGATGAAGAACAAGACAATATAACGTATGCAGCCAATGTGAACAAGCATTGTGAAGAATTCAAGCTCGCAGAATTAAGCGCTGACAACTTTAAATGCTTAGTGTTTGTTCAAGGACTGGAATCAGAAAGTGAGGCAGAATTAAGGAAATTGGTATTATCAAAATTGGAAAACCAACAAAGTCTTACGATATAGAGTTTGGCAGAAGACTGCACAAGATATGTTAACGTAAAGAAAGACTCGAAAAAGATAGAACAGTCTGGCGTTTCGCATGTAAGAAAAATACCCTACAAAAAAAGCAGTCTACCAAAAAGAATGCCCGACGAAGTGAACGATGGAATAACCAGAAAATTTGTTACCATCGAAATAAGTAATAAAAAAATAAAAATGCAACTCGATACTTGTTCCGACCTATATATCATAAATTTGCATACGTGGAAGAAGTTGGAAAAACCAACTTTAATGAAAACAAATAAAATCGCGAGGTCAGTGACGGGAGAAAAAATACAATTTATTGGAGAATTTGTTACAAACGTCACGTTAAATAAAAAAACGCGAAAAGCTAAACTATTTGTCATTGAAAATACCACTAACTTACTTGGTACGGATTGGATAACAGAATTTCAATTATGGGATCTACCCATAAATTCTTTCTGTTACAAGGTAAATTTTTTAAACTATGAAGTCCAAAAATTAGTAAAAAAACTTAAGGGAACTTTTCCTACTGTTTTTTCTCCAGGTTTGGGAACGTGTACCAAGATGGAGGCAAAATTACAGCCAAAACAAAACCCTCAGGCGATATTCAAAAAGAAACGGAATATGCTGTTTGCTTCAATTTAACAGATAGATAAAGAATTGGACAGATTAGAGAAAACCGGTGTATTTAAAAAGTTGAGTGGGTAACACCGACGATATATGTGAAAAACAAGCTCCAGAAAGTAAAAATGAAGCCGACACCGAAAAAAAACTGGGGAACGAGTTACCGCAGCCAAGGACATGCAGTATTATTAAATGTTTTAAGTCAACAGGAAGACCCTACAGAAACTGTGAGTCCATCTTTAAGATGTTTAAAGCGGAAGGTTGTTTCTGGTAACATTATGGAGATAAAAAAAAAAAAATAGAAAAGCGGATTGGCTATATGAGGTACTTGGTGAAAGGGGAAAAAACTCACGTGCAGTAACGAGATCAGACGACGTTTTTCAGACGTGATTGACAGAAGTCCCACGAAAAAGAAAAAGAAAGAAAAAAAAAACGCCGATGGAGGTGATTTTCAATACGTTTGATCTCACAACTCCTGCAAATAATTCTACCTGAGGTACGCCGATCCAGAAGAAAAAAAGAAAGGCAACTGATCATTTAAAAGTGGATAAAAAAAACGTAGGAAATACGCTACGATGTTGCTAAAAAAAAAAAAAAAATTTTTTTTTTGATGTTTGAAAAATAAATAAATAAAACTTTTTACTCCTACAGATTAAAGTTTTTTTGTGGGGGGGTGTTATACCGGAACGTACCTATTTCTATTGTAAATAGACTCTCCCACAGATAAGTAGTAGTAGTAGCAGTCGCCAGTGAAGCTCAGTGAGTTGTGTGTGCCCCACAACTAGATTGCTGCGTCACTATTATTGCAAGTTCTTAACGTTTTGTACGTCGAACCTAATTTAGGACCGACTTAGTGAAATACAAGCCTCCACTGTGAAAATTACTCTACAACAGTTAGTCATTATAGCAGGTCATTGTACGAGTTATACTGGTATCATGTAACTTAGTACTACCTGCATCGACGACTAAATTGGTTCCCCGACTAGGCTTCTTTGTTACTTTGCTGTTCAGTTTTTCCTTCTATATTTCTTTCACAGTTTACATCATTGTTTCTATCTAAAAAATGTTTTCTTTCTTTCTTTCACTTTTTCTTTTATTTGTCTTTCTTTCCTTCCTTCCTTCTGTTTCAATTCCTTTCTTTCTTTCTTTCTTTCTTTCTTTCTTTCTTCTATTTTCGCTATTTTTTTCCTCCTCTCTTTTTCTTTCTTTATTTCCTCCTCTCTTCCTCTTTCTATTTTTCATATAGTAAAGCTACTTCTCTCTAACGTTACATGTCTGGCGATGTTTGTAGAAAATTGTCTGGCGAATATATAATTAGTAGACATATCTTTTGTTTTAGAAATGAAATTGCCTTCTTACCGGCCTGGGTTTCAGAGTGCCAAAGTATGAAGCCACCCACAGAATTAGCATGGGATGAAGTTGACAGGTGAGTAAAAAAAAAAAAAAAAAAAAAAAAATGAAAAAACCTCTTAGAATCATTGTAAAAAGAATAAAATCAATTATTAAATTTATACATTGAGAAATTTTTGCAACGGATGCCAATACTTTGTGCTGCAGTAATTAAGCTTAAAGGAGGATATTTTGACGAGAGCAAAATTTAATCATAAAATGATTTTTTTCTTTTTGTCATAATAAAATTTCTTGTATAAAAAAATCATGTATCAATTTTTTAACCATGTATAATAGTTTTTTCTTATTTAAATACAAAACAATTACTTTCTGGGCAAATTTTAAAAAATTAACCGGGGTTACCTCAAACTTTTGAACTGTAGTTAATAAAAACACCGATTAAAAAATAAGTAAATAAATAAAATAAGAAACAAAAAATAAAATTAATTTAAAAAAAGCAAAAATAATTTAACCCAAATAAATAAATAAACGACTTCCGGTAAAATAACCGCCATAATAGACTACCCATAATGCACCACTGACCCGTATATGTATAAATAGCCGAGAAAAATAATGTTAAAAATGTGGCCTTTTTTGCATATAGCATGAAACAGACTGTCGCCTCTAAACATATATGACTTCTATGTTCACTTTATATATATATATATATATATATATATATATATATCCAGCGTCGATAGCACAACTCGGAGTTTCATGCTTTTTTGTAATCATCAGGTGTTGGGTATATGTGCGTATATGGATATTTTTTATCATACCCATATATATATATATATATATATATATATATATAGATAGATAGATAGATATATAGATGTAGATATAAAAGCATAAGTATCGATGAAATTGAGTTTGGCACAAGATCAAAAGTGTGAGGCATCAAATGAATATCGAACTTAAAATATAATGAAATATGGGATCATCTCGCTAACCTTTACTCTCCTTATTCACTAAGATTAACGTTCTTTGACATATAATCATAAGGGTAGGATCCCCATTGAGGATCACCTTCGTTCTTTTCGTGATGGTCTGCCTAAATAGCTTGTTAACCATTGCTCTCTTGCAATGCACTCTGTAAGTCATTATTTTCAATGCCGGGATTGAAAGCAGATGGCTTTTAATATTGAAGGACCCTAACCCTAATATCCTCTAGCAGTACATTTACATATTTGTAAAATATGCAATACCCACTGGCTCTAAATATCTTTTCTTTTAATCTGTAAAGATTTTTTAAAAAATTGTTCCTTTCTATCGTTTCTTTTCTTCGCTATCCTTTTTTTTTTGCTTTCTTTTCCTTTACAATAATCGTTTTCTTTTCCTTCTCCACATATTATTTTCTCTCTCTCTCTCTCTCTCTCTCTTTCCTTTTCATTAATCCCCTGGTTCTCTCTTTCTCCTCCTTTCATTTCCTTCTCTTATTCTCCCTCTTTTGCTTTCGTTCTCTTTCTCTTTTCCTCATGGCTAACACCTTTCCACTTATCTTCCCCGTCGTCAGTCTATCTTTCCCTCGTCGTCTTCACCTCCCCATTCCTGCTCTCTCTTCTCCTTTCTTTCTCTTCTCTCTTCTTTCTCACTCACTCTCTCTCTCTCTCACTCTTGTGATGGAATTTCAAAATAATACTTTCGTCATTGGCCAATGTCATCAGCCGTTATCAGTAATAAGTAATATCATGAATATTCATAAGCTCCTCCCCGGACTCCATTCGGCTGATTGGGGCAATCAATAACTCAGAATATGAATCGGTAATTTTAAACATTTACGTGTCTAAAACGGAGAGCAAGGAAGGTGGGGGGGGTGACGTAGCAAAGTGAACGTTGTTAGATCTTTTAGTGACGAGGCAGATAACGTATTTACAACTTCCAACGTCTCTAAACCGACCAACCAAGAAGAGAGGTTGGCTGACGTATTTCCTTACTGCATCGAGTGCAATCAATTGGTTTGTGTACTTGTAAAAGATGCAATTCTTGTGAAATCGGTGCCAAACGGAATAAACTCAGGAGTAATGTGTTTTCTTTTCGATTTATGGCTTTATTTCTATAAAAAGGCGATAAAAATGGCCTTCTATGTCTACAGTTGGTTTCAAATCTATTTAAAGGTTAGACCTTGAGTTTCAAGTTCGATATCCTCGCCAAATAAATCTTATTTTGTCTTAACATTTATATATATATATATATATATATATATATATATATATATATATATATATATATATGCAATTTGTGTTTTTTCAACAAAAATCTCTCTTATATAAAGTTTCATTAAAAACGTCAGAAAGGGACTGCGGTTAAGTTTTATTTAATTTTTCTTGTGTTCATATAATTTTATTCATTTTTGGACATAAAAGAAGGCAATTATAAGAACACAACAAAACTTAAATAAAAACCTTAAACTTTGTAACTTGTCAGTCGTATTTAATGAAATTTGTATAAAAGAGGAATTGCTGTCCAAATACACACACACACACACACACACACACACACATATATATATATAATTAATTCTAATTTATATATTCCCATATTTATACTATATTAATTTTATCTTATAATTTGTACCCTGTTCTAAGAACTCTTTTTCATTTTATCACTTATATGTCTTTATCTATATATTTTAAGATTGTTTTTAATATAACATTGTATTTTTAAATATAACTTGTTTTTAGATATATCTTATCATTAAATGTAACTGTTTTATATTTTTATTTATATTTTTTACTTTTAAATATATATATATTTTATCTTATTATATTTTGATTTTTTTTAATATATGTTTATTTTTAAATATAACCTATTTATTTCATTTTTATTTTTATTTTATTAAATATGAATAATATACTTATAAATATATAAATAAATATATTTATTTCTATTTATTTTATTCTTATTAAATATAACTTTTTAAAAATATAATTTTACTTATGTTTAAATATAAATTATATAAATATGACTTATTCTTAAATATAATTTAATTAATTTTATCTAATATTTTTACATATACCTTTATCTATATTTTTTAAACGTTTCAAACCCCCTTTTATTCCTCTCTTAGTTTTAAATTATCATTTCATTCTCTATATAATCCCAATTTAATGACAAGGTTAATATCTGGGTTTAATTTTATAAAACCTCTTCCCTTTCAGGCTACCTGATGATTGCATCTAGCAGGAAACAGCTTGGCGCCACTGAGTATTGATTTCAATGTTCACTTATATATATATATATATATATATATATATATATATATATATATATATACCAAGTGTAACTGCATAATTGTCTACCACACAAAAAGTTTAATATCTAAAAATACAATTGAACTACAACTAATTGAATTTCTTTTTTCCAGGTTTTTCGATAAGACGTTTAGCCATTTTGACATAATTTCTCGTAAGAATCACTGAAAAAACTTTGAGTTATTCAGCTAGAAAGAGAACAGGTGAAAATCGGCTTGTGCCAGCCCCAGAGTCTATTCAACTAAGCAATGGTGCGAGGAAAAATCATTCAAGTCTTCAGTTATGGTACCAAAATTCCTACTCTGGCTTCCATCTTCAACGTCCATTCAAGAACCATCAAGAGAATGGTTAATAAGTTGAAAAAAGAGGGAACAGTAGAGATGAAACTGGATCAGGAGGTCACAACAAGAAGAGGGATCATCATTTGATCTTAGAGCTAAAGAGATCGCTTAGAAAAATTCCAACTCAATCCATAAGATGTTAGGCATGTGAGAGAGAAGTTTCAGCTATGACAGTTCAAAAAGCAGTGAAAAAAGACTTGAAAACGAAATCGTACGTGAAACCTGGGAGGCACCTTGTTACCTCAGAACAGAAAGTTAGAGAGGGTGAAGTTCATCTTGAATAAGTTGGAAAATGATCATGGAATAATATATATATATATATATATATATATATATATATATATATATATATATATATTATTTGAACTTTATTTCAATGAGTTTGCGATTCTTAGCAATAATTAATTAATTAATGAACATGTAATTTTCGTTTATGATCGATTTCCTCACAATTCTTCTGTTAAGCGTAGAGAGTAATTATACATGCTTATTGTTCAGAGTAGAATCCAATAGTGTTATAAAAACCTCGAAGAATTCCAGTAAGATATCTTTAATCATTTCGAAGATACAACGGTTCAAAACTTAATCTCACAATTGGACAATTTTGCTGTTACACGATTTTGAAGTATTAGCTGTTACATCCGGCATATAAAATATTAAAACTGATCCACAAAGAGAGCTCAATGTATTTATTAAAGAGCATATATAAATAAATTACATGTAAGAGAAATTAAAAAATAACCCATATGTATAGTTATTTCTCCCCGTAAGAATTACCTGGCGAGGATTGTCAACACGAAGAGGTTTGGAGATTAAAAAAAAACAACAACAAAAAAACAATTTTTTTTATTGAACTCACGATTCTTTGGGTCCTGTCACTGGATCTAACCAACGCCTTTATCCACTGTGCCATGTGTCCTTGATACAGTGGAGGTGAATTAACAGGAGATAACAGATAACTGACATTAGACATGGCACGTGGAACTAGAACAGTCTACCCCAGCGAGCGAAATAAAGGGTTCAGTTCGACCTTCCAACCACCTGAAGAAGGCCGGAGTGGACAACAGCCGAGACATTGTAATAAATATACTGACAAAGGTGAGGAAAATAGTCTAAATAATGTAAATAGTGTACATAATACCTCATCTCAGAAATATAGACAGATAGTATTTTTCTTTTGATCACTCAGATACTTTTTGCTATTCCTATTTTTCGCTCTACTTTGTAAGGGTGGAGCAGTGTGTTCAAATCAGCCTGGGGTCACAATTGTTGTTTTTAGTGTCCCTTAAGTTTGAGAAAGAGATGTGTAATGACGAAGAAAATTGCTTACGCTGAAGAAATAGGAAACAAAAGAATAAAAAATTATAATGGAAATTTTTATTCTATCTGGAATTTTTAGTCTAATGAATGGTCAGAGGATAATCCCTGAAAGAGTGAATAATTCTAAGGAATGTTCTGATAATCCCCGCAAAAAAGAACGGAACGGTTTAGCTTACTTTGTTGTTGAATGGAGGAGTGAGTCTAGTGTCATGCGTTATGTTTTAGGCACGCCGAGATTTGATATTGTCCAAATCACGACTTAGTCATTTGAAATTCGCGTTACGCATGCTCCCAGTGTTATACGCATGCTCATAAGACTGAAAAGAGGTTCTGCTTACATTGTTTTAACATATGCCATCTAGCCAACTAAAGTATAGCGGCTGCTACAGGCTATTCCCATTTTTTGTTATGCCTATTCAGTATTATTTGCTGTCTCTATTCGCCCTCGGATTTCTGTGTCACCGTCTGTTATCACTCAAGCAGGTAGTAGAATCTTGACGCTTCTTTAATTTTGACGTGTTCTCGATGTGTACATTACATCTTGAACTGACGCTTGGGTTCACCATTATGCATTTCATTGACCATTAATTGTAAGAAGATGACTTAGCATCCACACCTGTAAAATGTATAATTCAGAAGCTTTGTCATTTCTGTCTACTCACCTGTCTAACTAGCGATATGTGAGAAGATATTTACTAAATTTAACATAGTAAAGCGAATAAAAGGTGTAACCCCCCCCCCCAGTAAAGATCGAATTCAGTTGAGCAGTAATGGTCTTCAAGGACGAACTTCTTAACTAGTGTTTTAAAATTGAGTGCTCGGTGTTTTACTAAGTATGGCACATGGTTGCAATCAAAGGTCGCTAAGAAGTGAAACAATTACAACCGTAATGTTTTGGGAGAAGAGTTTGTTGAATTCTACTTCTTTCTTTCTTTCTTTCTTTCTTTCTTTCTTTCTTTCTTTCTCGATCTGTTCATTATCTATCTATCTATCTATCTATCTATCTATCTATCTATGTCTGGTCATAATCTATCTATCTATCTATCTATCTATCTGAGAAACATCACATCTCTCTCTCTCTATATATATATATCTATCTCGGTCTGTTCATTATCTATCTATCTATCTATCTATCTATCTATCTATCTATCTATCTATCTATCTATCTATCTCAGCCACATCATATATCTCTCTCCCTCTCTCTCTATCTATCTCGTTCTGTTCATATCTATCTCTCTGCCTATCTATCTATCTATCTATCTATCTATCTATCTATCTATCTATCTATCTATCTATCTATCTAGCTTGGTCTAGTCATATCTATCTATCTATCTATCTATCTATCTATCTATCTATCTATCTATCTATCTATCTATCTATCTATCTTGGTCTAGTCATATCTATCTATCTATCTATCTATCTATCTATCTATCTATCTATCTATCTATCTAAAGTAGTGTGTATGTGTCTTTGTACAATGTATAATACACTTGTATTTAATATCTTGACAGGTAGGGAGAAAAAACAGAATTGTTTATTTCCCCGACCTTATGAGTAGGAAGCTGGAAGCTGACGACCTTGAAAATCATTAATAGATTTTGTTAGATTTTACCTGGGTTCTAACAATAGTTTTTGGCACCAATAGAACATATGTAACTCTCTCTGCATAGGGCCACTATATATGCAATGCTATCTTTGTATCTCCTCTATTATATGAAAGACAAGACTATATCTCTTTGACCAGAGCTTTATACGGACACGTTTAAACAGCATGGACTTGTACTAACCCTGATACACAACATGAAGAAAACAGAAATGTGATTGGTACCGCCAAGCGTAAAAAGCGTTTAAAAATAATGGAAGCATTTACACAAAAACAAAAAACGGAACATTAATAGCATCAATTATGAACATGGCCACAATGTACTGGCCGTATTCGGAAATTAAGAATATGTATACTTTCAGCAAGTTTAATTCTGTATAAAACATCACTTACACGTCATTTATATAGTTGTAGAACTAAAACAGTTGAAAATGGGTAAGAATTTAACTGAAAGCGCTCGGAGCCAACAAACTTTCGGACAATTTTTACATTCATTATATCCTGAAAAGAAGATACTAGTAAACCTTCAAGAAAAAACATCAAAAACGGAATGAAAGTACATAAGTACATTGTTCAACGAAACATCTATTAAAGAGGGATTGCTTCGCAGATACACATCTATCTATCTATCTCTCTCTCTCTATATATATATATATATAGTGATTTTCCAAACATAGCTCGGATGTGGCACAAGGCCGAAAGTAAGGGGCACCCAGTGAGGACCGAACTCACTACTCAGTCGTACTTGTCCTAGCGAGACAATCTTGCTAACCATTACACCATATATAGATGAACACGCTTGCTCTTTTGTGTAAGTAAGATGTTCCAGGATAAGCCATTTTATTGTCGATTTTCTTATTGTGTGTATAGGCATCTCTAGTTTAAGCTGATGTCTAAATTTTCACATCAGTTTCAGCGCTTGGGTATTCGAGATAATAGAGCCTCAAATTTCGTAGCATAAGTAGATTTATTTGTTTCAGCCATTTACCTCTCTCCCAAAGGTACCTTTAAGTTTGAAAGCGTAATTGTCCATTCATGTCATAAGTGACAGGATTTAATAGTGTGTTGTGATAATAGTTCTCTGGTCAGCCTCTTGGACTGATAACCGAAAAATACACTGTTCAACATTTAGAAATTAATGAGCTCTGATATTTAATTTCTTTTAGGTATTTACTGATCATAGCATAGTCTGGCACAAGGTTATAACGTGAAGCACCACGTTAAGCTTGAATTCGTTAATCTAGTAATAGTCTATTCCATTTCGTTCAGATCTCTATATTAATTCATTCTGATCAGCTCTATGGTGAAAAACTGGACTTGAACTTTCAAGGCCTTCAAAGCCAAGCTAGTAACGAGGCTCGCCATCATCTGCAGCTGCATTTTTCAAACATTTTTTTACTACGACTCACAACAAGAATCCCATTTTGCATTGTGGCCCATTATACCTAAGTGTAAGTCAAAGACAAACTCTCTTCACCAGATTCCTTTATTTAGCATCGGCAATTTATATGCATATTTCTTACGATCCACATATTGAAATTGCATGGATCTATTTGTATGAATATAAGATTATTAATTTCAGAAAAACAAATTTAAAGGAAATTCAGACACAAAGGTACAAGTTTATAAATATACCATTCACTAAACTTTGTATTAACATCTTCAAATCAAAGGACAATCGTTATCTATCCCCCCTATCCTCATAATATTAACTTTCTTGTACTTCTTACATTTGTATCACACACCTCATTCAATAAGCTTCTACCTTGAGTGGCTCTTGGGCTTTGTATTAACCACTTCAAGTCATGGGTCAATCTCTCTCTCTCCTCCTTATCCTCATAATATTCAATTTCTTCTACTTCTAATTTCATTCCTATCACACACCTCATTCACTAACCTTTCACCTTAAGTGGCACTTCTAGTGGGTGAATATTAGTAAATAATCTATCTATCTATCTATCTATCTATCTATCTATCTATCTATCTATCTATCTATCTATCTAAGTCTGTTCCTTCCTTCCTTCCTTCCTTCCTTCCTTCCTTCCTTTTCCTTTCTATCTATCTATCTCAGTCTGTTCCTTCCTATCTATCTATCTATCTATCTATCTATCTATCTATCTATCTATCTATCCTCGGGAGCATGTTAGCGTTATATTTTTAGCATTCTGTCTCGGGAGACATTTCAAAGGGTGTCTTGAACGATCTACAACCAAACTGTTTATGGTTTTGTCTATATTTCTGAGATGAGTTATTGTAAGTATTTATACTATTGACATTATTCGGACTGTTGTTCTGAACTTTATTGTCATATTCATGACGTTTCGGCCCCAAGGACACATGACCCAGTGGATAAATGCGTTGCTTGATCGATCCAAAGAGTTTTGAGTTCTATACCTGGCCAGCGCCGAGGTGAAAAGAAAAAAAAAACTTGGACAGTTGAGTTATCATCTGAAACTGAAATATCCAAAGGCATGGCACCTGGAATAAAAACAATCTACCTTCGAGGGTTCGTTTTGAAATTATAACAAATATCACTTGAAAAAGGACAGGACGTAAAACGGTCGAAACGTCAGGAATCTGAGAATAAAGATGTGGAAAACAGTTCCAACAATTTAAATAGTATATAAACTTAAGTTTTTCTACATTAAATACGAATGATTCTGCTGAGATAATAAGTTTTATTTTTTCGTGGCAATTTTTAATCTAATTTTATAAGGGGACATATCAATTTGTGGAGAGCCATAAGGGAAACCTCACATAAAAGAAGATTGAAAAAAAAATGAAGAGCCTAGGAAAATAGGAGGAAAATAAGTTGTAAGTGTTAAAGGAATTTTTTTACGAGGTGAATGAGGAAAATATCTTATAACAACCGTCTTCTCAAAAATTAATCAAATGACAAAATATTAAAAGTTTCATTTTTTGAAAGCCATTATTAATCGGGCCGATAACCTTTCAGCATTCTCTCATAAAGAACTGTTCTATGTATTTTTTATGTCTTCCTAAATATTCATTTGGGGCCCAAAGTAAACGTAGCTGCTTCCTGTCACCTGAAAAAAGGGTTTTACAAATCGTTCTCTTCTAACAGTTTGAAAAAAAAGGCCAGAAAAAAGGATCTATCTATCTATCTATCTATCTATCTATCTATCTATCTATTCCAGTCTGTTCAAATCTATCTATCTATCTATCTATCTATCTATCTATCTATCTATCTATCTATCTAAAGTAGTGTGTATGTGTCTTTGTACAATGTATAATACACTTGTATTTAATATCTTCACAGGTAGAGAGCAAAACGGAATTATTTTTTTCCCCGACCTTATGAGTAGGTCTAAAAATCTATCTATCTATCTATCTATCTATCTATCTATCTATCTATCTATCTATCTATCTAATAAATGCGTCTGTCGAGTTAATGGCAATATGAAAGACAAAGGAGAACAGATCTTATTGACAGACCCCGAAGTGACAGGCCAGCTCCTGCTCTAAATGAAAATAAGGCCAAACATGCTGATACTGTTGCAAAACTTTACGAAAGACGTCGGGTGAAGCTTGGAAGTATTGAAATTTTACTGTACTCTTTTGGCTACTCGAAAATCCGGGTTTCCCGAATGCTGACAAACTCCTTGAACGAACTGGGGTGGTTATTGATTAACTGCATTTGAATCTGCGCAACACAGACAGCACATTTCCAAATCAGGATAGTCAGATGAGATGAGACAGGGATTCACTAAGATGTACCAAAGAACAAAAGACAACCAATGAGTTGGTACCACGCAGACTTGTCCAGAAAGAGTATTTTTAATAATTTTTATCTGTAAAAAAACATGATGGCCACTGATTTGCGTAAAAAATGGTTGCTAAAGACATTAGGTTTATAATACCCAGAATTTCATAAACAGATGTCCTCAAGGGCACATGGCACAGTGGATAAAGTCGTGACAGGACCCAAAGAGTGTAAGTTCAATACCCGGTTAAGGCAGTGGAGAACTTGGAGAAGGGAATTAACAGGAGATAACTGATATCCATTAAACATGGCACGTGGAACTAGAACAGTCTACCCCAGTGAGCGAAATAAAGGGTTTAGTTCGACATTCCAACACCTGAAGAAGGCCGGAGCGTACAACAGCCGAAACGTTGTAATAAATATGGCGACAAAGATGAGGACAATAATCCGAATAATGTAAACAGTGTACATAATACCTCATCTCAGAAATATAGACAGTCACTGTTTTGGTATCAAAATGTAATCATATTTTCAAATTACAGCAGAATCCTTCATATCCGGAATCCCTCATATCCGGAATCCCTCATATCCGGAACCCCTCATATCCGGAATCCCGCATATCCGGACATGATTTTGATGCGTATATTCGAACTAGTTGGGTGATACGTAACTGATTTGAAATTTCTGTTTTTCAGGAAATTTACTTTGGATAATTGCTTATGCTTATTTCACCCTAATGGCTTGTATTGGTGCAAAAGATGATGGGATAAGAAGAAAAGAACAACTTTGGAGTTATCGCAAAAAGTGGAAATTTTAAACAGACTAGACGCTGGCGAAAGTTCATTGTAACTAATGGCTGAGTTCAACATAGGAAAGTCAACATTGTATGATATAAAATCTTACAAAGCAACTATTCTCCAGCGTCCACACTGTCACAATGAACAAGGAAATAAAAAAAAAACATGATTGTAATGAAGCCTGGTTCTGAAATTGAAAAAGCTATTGAAAAGGTTGTCAGTTTTATAGAAAGAAAGCCAGCATTCAGCTATGACGATTGCAATAACGCACGCAGAGTTAAAAAGTATCTTCCATTTAAAAAAAAAAATTCAAAAACAAAAGCAAAACGAAATGCGGAAAAAGTTGAGAATGACATTAGCAGAGAAAGAATCCTCATGCAACAGCGATTAAAACATTCGTCGTTACATTATTTGATTTGCATACGTGGGATACTTAATTTAATGAATTTTCATTAACATTACATAATTTATTTCTTTTTCCTTAAAATCAATTTCACTCACCATTACCTTATTTTATTTACTATAAAACATTGAAAATAAATGTTAAACCTGATTTCAGTTCTTTTATTTTAATCTAAATATAACTCCTCATATCTGGACTTTGTAACCAATTCCTCATATCCGGAAAGCCTTCTTAGTCCGATTGTAAGGGATTCTACTGTATACCAACCTTATCCGTTCTGTATTCTACAGTTTAGCTATATTTGAAGATATGTGAAGTCCTTGTGCAAAATGACAACACAATGAATCACAACAGCAAACACAATGGATGCCTGCTGAAGTTGTCATCATCTACAGGACCATAAAGAAGGACAGCCAATGCATTGACAATTTATTTTATATATGCCTGCCCACGAACTACGACCGATATGGGTGTTTTTAGATCTGACCATATCCATGATTGTTTTAGAAGATGTTGTAAGTATTTGGATGTTGTTTAGAGATGGAATAACGTATTTTAGATTGTGGATGTTTTAGAATTGGTAGCTAGTATTATGTATCAGTTTTTGTTTAATTTATTATTGTGGATAATGTTATTTTTGTTGCGGTCGTATATTTTTGTGCCTTACTCTTTGCGTTATGGAAGAAGTGATGGGGATAATGGAGATTTTTGAATGAGTTTTCTATGTGCGTTTCTTCTTTGGTTAGATATTGGGGATTGCAAATTCGTAGTGCTCTTAAGTAGAAACCTATGATTATATTAGATTTAATTTTATAAGAGTGGTTTGACTAGAAGTTGATTAGGTCGTTTTTGTTGGTAGATTTTTTGTAAACGTCAAAACTGAGTTCGCTATTGTTTCTGTGTAACATGATATTTAGGAAGGGAAGCATGTGATTGGGTTCAAAAGTGAAGTCTATTGTATGTTCAGCGTTTTTAAGTTGGTTGACAAGATCTGTTAAAATGGTGTTTTGTGGATATATTAATATGGCGTCGTCTATATATCTGAAATAGGAAGAGCTTAATGTTAATGAAAGGGCTATTTTTAAGAAACTCTAAAAATAGATAAGCCTGAACTCCGCTAAGAGAAGATGTTAACAAAAGTGAAGAAATATTGTTAGGTAATTAGTCGGCATATTTTTTATAATTTTATGTGTCGGGATAAGTGAATTTTTGGTTTTGTTAAGTGTGTATTTAATAGACTTAGGTATTTTTCTGTAAGGACGTTAGTAAACTATTTACATTATTCGGACTATTGTTGCCATATTTATCACAGCCTTTCGGCCGTTGTACGCTCCAGCCTTCGTCAGGAGGTTGGAATGTCGAACTGAAACCTTTATTTCACTCACTGAGCTAGTTCCACGTCTAATGGGTGTCAGTTATCTCTTGTTAATTCCCCTCTCCACTGCCTTAACCAGGTATTGAACTCACACTCTTTGGGTCCTGTCACTGGATCTCACTAACGTCTTTATCCACTGTGCCATGTGTCCTTGAGGACATCAGGGTATGAATTATAAACCTAATGTCTTTAGCAACCGTTTTTTACCAGTGCTCATATCGCAATTTTTGCTGTTATCATTATATGTTTTTACCAGAGCTCATATTGCTCATATTTCGTAAATAGTGTACTTAATACTTCATCTCAGAAATATAGACAGATACTGAGGTACGTTAGTTATAGAGATTTTTTTATGTCTAAACTGGCCTTATATTTGTTTTTGATTTCTAGGTTTTTAATTTGTTTAGGTTACCTGAGATTTTTATGTGTGAGAGACTGATTGTGCCAAGGAGTGGGGTAAGGATTTTTCTTAGTGTGCCGTCTAGTTTAAGTGCGGAACTACCTATCCCTGATATGACAATCTATCCCTGGTCTGTCTGGGTTTGTGTGTGGTTTTGGTGGCCCGTATAGTGTGGGTGTTTTTGGTTGTTATTCACGGAGGTGTCTTCATTATTTATTTATTTTTTTTTTTTTTGCTTATGAATTTCTGTCTCTTTCTTGGTTTTCTTTTCGTTTACCTTTTCGTAGATGTGTGTCATTGTCGATGAGGTTTTTCATTTTCTGTTGGCAGATGAATTCATCCATGATTACAATACTCCCGCCTTTATCTGAAGGTCATATGTGGATATTTTTGGTTGTGACCTAATTCCTTTATGGCTTTTATATATCTACGAGGAAGTCACGTGTCTTTGGGATTTTTTTTTTATATGTGGACGTGAATTCGTCTCTTCTACAGATATACTCCTTCTGTGAATATTTACACATAAATCGTACTGAATATTTATGAGTATTCTTAAATTTGGAAATTTTGAGTAACTCTCAAATATATACTTGTTGCAAAATAAAACCATCACATTTGCTTTGATAAAGTCCGAGTGACGAAACGCGTCGGCTAAACTAACTATAGTTTTACAATTTTCTTTTCATTCATTTTGTCTCTTCTACAGATATACTCCATCTGAGAATATTTACACACACATACACACACACGCACACACACACACACACACACGCACACGCACATATATATATATATATATATATATATATATATATATGTAAATGGGATTTTCCCCGAACGAGTATGTCTGCTCACGAAACGTACCTTATCATTAAGGTACGTTTCGTGAGCAGACATAATAATAAAGTATGGTTGGTACTTCACAAATCCTTCACTACTCTAATCAAAGCATATGTGCTGGTGTCTGGGCTGCCAGTTTCTAGGAACTGAGCCACTTGACCGTCATATGTCGAATACGACGAGAGAGTCCACCACACACACACACACACACACACACACACACACACACACACACACACACACACACACACACACACACACATATATATATATATATTGAACAATAAAAATTATTAAAAAATTAATAAAAATTAAAATCTTCAGACACACTGGGTTGTATATTAATATTTCTTCGTTTTATTATTACTTCATTTCGGCCATCATTAGGAGTATCCGTGCGCCAACGGCTTAGTGGTAGAATCCCGACTGACGCCAATTCAGTCGGGTTTCGATCCTAGCTAGAGGCAACCGGATGTCTAGCCACACTGATGAGCTACGAAACAGTCTGTCTGTGGATGACACTATATATATATATATATATATATATCAAAGTATATAATTGGTATACACGGAATGAATTCCAATAACCAACAATTACTATTCTTAAAAGAGTGCACAATACAAAGTAGAGCAGATATAATTATTTTATAAAAAAAATTATAACATAAGTATGTTATAAAATCACTACAAAATAGCCATTTTGTTTCAACACACTCTGTGTCTTATCAAGTGATGATGTTGAAAAAGAAAATAAATGGTTTTAAAAAGTTTCAGATTAATTAACGATCCTAAACTAGGGGAAACATTGTTACAAAAAAATATCTAAAAATAAAATAAAATAAATGACATCTTTAAATAACTAAAAAAAAATGTGGATTGTTCTTAGTTGGAACATCCACACACTGTTCTTACTGTAAATTTGTAGAGCATTATTGAATATGTATAGA